GTGAACAGTGAGAATAATGTGAATAAGAATAAAGTGAACAGTGAGAATAATGTGAACAGTGAGAATAATGTGAACAGTGAGAATAATGTGAACAGTGAGAATAATGTGAATGAGAATAAAGTGAACAGTGAGAATAATGTGAATGAGGATAATGTGAATGAGAATAAAGTGAACAGTGAGAATAATGTGAATGAGGATAATGTGAACAGTGAGAATAATGAGAAGAATAAGAATAAAGTGAACAGTGAGAATAATGTGAACAGTGAGAATAATGTGAATGAGAATAATGTGAATGAGAATAATGTGAACAGTGAGAATAATGTGAACAGTGAGAATAATGTGAATGAGAATAATGTGAACAGTGAGAATAATGTGAATGAGAATAATGTGAACAGTGAGAATAATGAGAAGAATAAGAATAAAGTGAACAGTGAGAATAATGTGAACAGTGAGAATAATGTGAATGAGAATAATGTGAATGAGGATAATGTGAACAGTGAGAATAATGTGAATGAGAATAATGTGAATGAGAATAAAGTGAACAGTGAGAATAATGTGAATGAGAATAATGTGAATGAGGATAATGTGAACAGTGAGAATAATGTGAATGAGAATAAAGTGAACAGTGAGAATAATGTGAATGAGAATAATGTGAATGAGAATAAAGTGAACAGTGAGAATAATGTGAATGAGAATAATGTGAATGAGGATAATGTGAACAGTGAGAATAATGTGAATGAGGATAATGTGAACAGTAAGAATAATGAGAAGAATAAGAATAAAGTGAACAGTGAGAATAATGTGAACAGTGAGAATAATGTGAATGAGAATAATGTGAACAGTGAGAATAATGTGAATGAGAATAATGTGAACGAGGATAATGTGAACAGTGAGAATAATGTGAATGAGAATAAAGTGAACAGTGAGAATAATGTGAATGAGAATAATGTGAATGAGGATAATGTGAACAGTGAGAATAATGTGAATGAGGATAATGTGAACAGTGAGAATAATGTGAATGAGAATAATGTGAATGAGAATAAAGTGAACAGTGAGAATAATGTGAATGAGAATAATGTGAATGAGAATAATGTGAATGAGGATAATGTGAACAGTGAGAATAATGTGAACAGTGAGAATAATGTGAATGATAATAATGTGAACAGTGAGAATAATGTGAATGAGAATAATGTGAATGAGAATAAAGTGAACAGTGAGAATAATGTGAATGAGAATAATGTGAATGAGGATAATGTGAACAGTGAGAATAATGTGAATGAGGATAATGTGAACAGTGAGAATAATGAAAAGAATAAGAACAAAGTGAACAGTGAGAATAATGTGAACAGTGAGAATAATGTGAATGAGAATAATGTGAATGAGAATAATGTGAACAGTGAGAATAATGTGAATGAGAATAATGTGAACAATGAGAATAATGTGAACAGTGAGAATATTAAAGTGAACAGTGAGAATAATGTGAACAGTGAGAATAATGTGAACAATGAGAATAATGTGAACAGTGAGAATAATGTGAATGAGAATAATGTGAACAGTGAGAATAATGTGAATGAGAATAATGTGAACAATGAGAATAATGTGAATGAGGATAATGTGAACAGTGAGAATAATGTGAACAGTGAGAATAATGTGAATGAGAATAATGTGAACAATGAGAATAATGTAAACAATGGAAATAATGTAAACAATGGAAATAATGTAAACAATGGAAATAATGTGCGATTGGTGAACAGATG